GATCATTAGATACAGGTAACGTGCGCACTGATTCCTATGAGGAATGTCTTCTCTTTTAACTGCTCGGGGCCCCGAACAATCAAGACTGTGTCATCGGCCTGCCGACGGTTCAATGAGCTCCTCTTGGGGAGGATGCAATAAATGCCCAGCCTTGGAGACATATATTGTCTTTCACTTCCGAGCCTTACCGCATTGAATGCAGTCTCATCAAGGGAATGATATAATTAAATGCTTGTTTTCCCAAGTCGCGTGTCAGCAAGGTCATGCGGTCTTTCTGTCTCTGATGTGACACAATATGTCACGCGTCCATTCCTCATTGGCTGTGGTCTTGCCTTCTTGTGCCTTCTGACACAAATTATGTAAGACGAGGTCATGACAGCTAACCTAGCCTAGCCTAGGCTTGTGACCAGTGCATCAATAGCCTCTGCTGGAGCAGAGAACTTCATCTTGGATGAGGGGGGTACATCTCGGTACCGAGGAAGAGGTACATCTCAGAGCCGAGGAAGAGGTACATCTCAGAGCCGAGGAATAGGTACATCTCGGAGCCGAAGAATAGATACATCTTAACTCCGAGAGGGGGAGGCCTAGCGACCGTTGTTCCATATCAGACCGAGGATACGTGTCGGTACATAAAAACGTACTGAATGCCACTCGATCTCCATGATCAGTACCTCGGGAAAGAGGGGACTTGTGACCCGATGGGTACGTGATCTCAGTAACAAGGATTAATGACACCGAGGACACGTGTCTTCATCTCGGAGTATTTTGGAAATGTCCCATCAAATTGTTTAAATCTCTCTCCTCTCTCCTCCCCCCAAAAAATATTATTATTCATTTTGACAATAAATTAAATTAATTGTTTTGGTTTCAATAACACTACTCATTTGGTTATCGCATGGAAAAATTATATTTGGACGTAATTTACTAACCTTAAGTAGCTACACTTTGTCTTACCACCTCGAAACATATAAATTCATCCGATCGAAGAACATTCAAACCGAATTCATCCATCCTTTTGGGCACAGGGACGCGAGAACCAATCGGAGTATTCAACCATTTTTAAAAAAAAAAATTTGGCTCCAACAAAATAGGGCGACACCACTCACAATCAATTCAATGATAATGATTCGTTAGATTAACTTAATAAATTAAGTTTAAGTAGCACTGATCAATTGCATGAGTCTATTATGCAAATAGCAACGGATCTCATTGTTCGCATTTAGTTAGTTATTATTAAGGCGGTCTAATTGAACAATAAGTAAAAACAACTGAGACGGTAGAGTAAATTACAGTGACACTAAAAGAGCATGATGTTTTCCAATCCAGGAAAACCTGATGACGTCAGTAACAATAATTCTCACGTTGTTAATGCTGCCGTGTAAACTTACTATTGGAGAAAAAAAATCCTGTTTTCCCACTAATTCAGCAGTAAAAGTGAAACTATAAATAACCAACCACACCCTTTTATTTTTTTTTTTTGGGTTAATCTCATTTTACACCCCGAAAGATAGTTCAAATCTCAATTTACACCTTCAAAGAGTAAAAATCTCAATTTGCACCCTCAAAGATAGAAATTTGTATCAATGTGCACCCCCCAAAGGTCAAAAATCTCAATTTGCACCCTTAAAGATAGAAATTTGTATCAATGTGCACCCCCAAAGATAAAAAATCTCAATTTGCACCCTCAAAGATAGAAATTTATATCAATGTGCACCCCAAAGATAAAAAATCTTAATTTGCACTCTCAAATATAGAAATTTGTATCATTATGCACCTAAAATTAAATTGATAAATTATACCTAGATCCTCTCATATTTGTCACTTAATAATTTGGACCTCTTTACATTTAGAATATTACTCCTACATCTCATGACATTTATGCACGTACAACATGTAACCCATTTTCATTGATATCTGTTAATATAACCGTTAAAAAATATAATTTTATCCTAATAAAAAATTATAATTTCATATTACCCTTATTTTATAGGTCCAATATACTCTAAAGTTCAAAATCAAGTTTACCATTTGAATGTCTAATAAAATGTAGATATTTATATAATGTTTTTCATATTTTCCTTTTTATAAATATCTACATTCTATTAGACATTCAAATGGTAAACTTGATTTTGAACTTTAGAGTATATCGAATCCACAAAATAAAGGGTAATATGAAATTATAATTTTTTATTAGGATAAAATCATATTTTTTAACGATTATATTAATAGATATCAATGAAAAGTGGTTATGTTTACACATGTACAAACGTCATGAGATGTAGGGGTAATATTCTAAATGTGAAGGGGTTCAAATGATTAAGTGACAAACATGAGGGGATCTAGGTATAATTTATCAATTTAGTTTTAGGTGCACATTAATACAGATTTCTATCTTTGAGGGTACAAATTAAAATTTTTGATCTTTGGGGGTGTAAATTGAGATTCGAACAATTTTTCGAAGTATAAAATGAGATTAACCCTTTTTTTTTCCACCCTCTTCCTCTCCAATACAGCCACACATAGAAACATCCCCAACCAACCAATGGAGGGAGAGAGAAAGAGCATTAGTTCAATCGGTTCGTACAACCATGGTTTGATCTACTCGAATGGTTTGGTTCCATTGCTGAGGGACTACATGTCTTTGGTCGAGTGGTGGGGGGAAGGGGGTAGGGCTTTAGGTTTCAATTTTGACAGAGCTGATATAAATTATTTATTATTAATTTTTTTAGTTGAAATCTCATTATCACATTTCAAATGACTTTAATCTCGGAGTCATATGACTGTAATCTATCCTAACCACTGTCACGTGGGTGGCTTTTATTTATTTATTTATTTTTTGCCAAAAAAATAGTAACACGACCACAAAATTCTTAGAAATTGTTTGTCTTGGCTGTCTCAAACTAATTTGAGACTAAAATACTCATTGGTCTGCTAAAAATTTAGTCAAAAACTCTGGTGGACCGTTTCAAAGCAACAGGTAACAAATTCTCATGTATGACTTTGACCAGTTAGATTTCCCATTTTTCTGTTCTCTTGGAAAGTCTGTAATTGAGTTTCTAGCTATTTCAAAGGCTATGTCAAGCAACGTGAGGGGTTAAATTATCTAAGCTCATATGACATAAAAGCCTCAAAAGGTCCAAAATTCGCTCGAGTCAATGTTCGAGTTTAAAAAAATAATCGGTATAAGTTTGAATACCATGTAACAAAAAAATAGTCATTCAGTGTTATATTACACTTTGAATTCTGAAAGATCTAAAAAAATTTATTTTATACTCTCAAATATTATATTTTTCACATTATACATTCAATGTATTATAAGTATTGTAATATGACACTTTCATTATATTTCATTGTTTATTCCGTCAATATTAATGGAGTGATTTTTGACAGAATAAATAATAAAAAATAGTGGAAGAATTACATTAAAACACTTTAAATATATTGAGGGCATATAATAAGTTTTTTAAATCTTTTTGGGTGTAATTTTATCATAAAAAATAATAACCGACGATACAATACCAATTCTTTTTTCTGGTACCGTATATTTTCCTTAATAAGATGGAAGAGTGCTTTTCAAACAAAGAGACTTGCTTAGATTAAGTCTTAGGGCCAATTAATAAAACAAGTGAGATTATCGAAAAATCAAATTACAAATGTGTTGGTAAAAAAAACAATGTATTAAATTCATAACTCATTTTTACTATGATATTATGTGATATTAATTGCTGATAGTTATTGCACCATCTTATAAATGGGTGAAATAAGTGAGACAATGTCATACCACAAACTAATTTTTCTAATAACAAAGTAAGTGAGAATTAGTTATTAACTTATATAACTTGATAATGCATAAATTGATTTTGTACACCACCTGTCAAGTAATCAATAATTAATGCGGTAATTTAATAAAGAAAGAGTAACTCAAGCAAGACGAAGATGTAGAGTGATTCAGTCAACATGACCTACGTTTACTATGAAAAATTAGGGTGGTTTGGATATTTTATTACTTCGAGGAATGTAGGGAGAGCAGGGAAATACAAGTAATGAGAAAGAGATGAGAGTAATAACAGATGTGTTCAATTGTGTGTGATGTGGGAGTCATGCCCGTCGTAGATGTTCCCCATGTGTAGGCGGGGCTTCCATTTTATAGTCGTCTCCTAACAGATTGAGACAGTTAATAAGTAACTAAAAGACTAATTTAGCGGAGGTGGCGTCATCTTTGCAATGGGTGATGTGGTTGACTTTTTCGCTCTTTACTCCGAGATGGCTTGAATGAGGCTCTTGGGATGACGCTAATTCCAAAGTGATTTGGATGAGGCTCTTGAGATAACGCTTACTCCAAGGTAGCTTAGATGAGGCTCTTGGAATGATGTTTACTCCAAGGTAATAGGCCTTCAAAGCATTGATGAGCCTGATTGTACATGGATCTCTATTGAACTGGACTCATTGAATCTTTTCTAATTAGACTCTTAATTCTTGGGCTTATAACTTGAGTCGGGCCCTAAGCTTAACACATTATAACTCAAACTATCTTTTACAATGATATTGCATGAAAGTTGATTTTAGTACGTTCTATATGGCCAAAATTTTGTCATCAATTAAGGATCTAACTTTTTTTTGGGTGATTATTTGCCCCTCAGGATGGAATCCTGAGTTCGTCCCTGACCACTACCACCACCACCACCACCACCACCACCACCTAAAGTTGAAGATACAAGAATCGTTTGAAGAGAGATCAGATGTATAGAGACCAAATTCAAATGACATAAAATAGTACAGTGAGTGTTAAGGATAAGAGAGAGAGTGTTCAATTGAGGTTACGCCATTTAAACGAATGGTGTAAAGGTTCGATTGGCCCAATGTTGTTTCTATTGCAAGTTAATTTGATACATAGTATGAGTATGCGCTAACATACTTTTCTTGATACAAATAGACTTAAATGATATATTATTTAGATTTACTGTATATCAATCCATATATAATCAATTGATGTTTATTCAAGAAAAAAAATGGTAGTCTGAAACCATGTACTTGTGAATAATAGAAGCAAATGACATTTTTATTACAAAAAGATCAAATCAGAACAAATCAAGTTATAACCTTACAGATTACCAAAATAAAGAATCGGTTATAGTTATAATTTGGTGTTAGAACTACAAAAAATAACAATTTGGGGTGGATAATTTGGATAATCCGAGCCAAACACCGACTCCATTTGGGATCGTGCAATCCCTGATCATGAGACAAAAGGGGTAGCTGCTAACAGAGTGCTCTTGGTTTGATCAATAGGTTGTTATCTAATTCCTTGCACGAACAAGGGGTGAAACCATAGGGGAGTGAGGGGACATCAGGCGTGGTGTCATCATCGGATCTTCCATTCTTCTAAATGATAAACTGACTTGAAGCTTGCTTTGTCTGTAGTGTTTCTTGGCAGCACTGGCCTGCTGTCCCTGGGCCTGAATTACAAAGTTCTTAATCCTTCTCAGAGCCAATCTCATGGTTTCATCATCCATGTTTGCAAAGCAAACCCGAAACCAACCCGGATCGGAGCAGTGGAAAGAAAATCCGGGAGAAACATTTAGCTTAGCATCGGCAATTATTGCCCTCCATAGTTCCGTTTCAGCTTCATGAGTTGGCTCTTTGAGTAGTCTCCGAAGGTCCATCCAGAAAAATAGGCCAGCATTGCTCTTCAAGCTGCCAATGCCTACTTGTGCAAGTCCCCTGGTGAACACTCCATGCCTTGTGGCCAACTTTTTTGCACTCTCAGCAATGAATTTGTCCACAAACTTGTCGTCTGATAGCATTGATGCAATCAGATGCTGTGTTTGGGTCGACACGAGCCCAAAACTCGACATCTTGCGGGCAATTTTCACTACTGTATCGTTGTATGAGTACACGATACCAACCCGGAAGCCTGGGAAGCCGAAGTCCTTGGACAGACTATAAACAATGTGTACGAGGTCACGATTGCATTCCATTTCTTCAATTATTTCAGCAATGCTGATAAAACCAGGCTTGTTGAAGACTGTGGCAGCATAGATTTCATCACACACTAGGTGAATGTTCTTTTTATTAGTGAAGCTTAGTACACTTCTCAGGGTCTCTCTGTCAAGTATGGTGCCCAATGGGTTTGATGGATTGGTTATGAGTAAGCCCTTTACTTTGATGTTGGCTTCTTGGGCTTTGGAGTATGCTGCCTCCAAGGCCGTTTTGGTCACCGTGAAATTGTTAGAGATCTCACAAACTACTGGGAGAAGTTGTACTCCTGTTCTCCATCTCAAATCTCTGTCAAATCTGCAATCAAAAAGTCAAACTCTGAGCCAACCCAGATGCGAAAAATCTGTGAAGAAATGAAATGACCATTCAGAACATTTTAAGTTTGAAAAAACTAATTGATTTTCGAGAGACTCCGATTGGTCCATGCCAAGAAAACAATGGCTGAAATTGAAGATGGCCCTGGTGCTCCACAAGTAATCTTCAATCATTGTTCTATGTGGTCACGGAGGTGATGAGGGTTTCTGTATAAAGGACCACCATACTTTTACAAGAAGAAAACCAGTTGTTTACATGTCCCACCAATAATTTAACCTAATCCAACAGTTTATATATATGGATCCTAATATTAAAAACCTGGGATTAAGATAGTTTGACTACATGCAGTGGCTGAAATAGATTATTCAAAGTCTTTTTTCTTTTGGACAGATTATTCAAAGTCTAAATGCGCCTAATTAAACCGCGTAGAAAAACCAGGTATTCAACGAGAAAAATAGATAAAATAGGAAGAGAAAACAGTTAAGAAATAAAGATAAAATGTATTTACCCTGGATAATATGGTGTAGGCACCAAAAACGCATCACCAGGATCTGCCAAGCAAAAGGCCACCATTTCATGAGCTCCAGTTGCTCCTCCACTCATGACAATCCGGTCAGGGTCGAATGTGACTCTCTGTCCTCTCACTTTCCCCATAAACTTCGCCACAGCCTGTAATTTAACATCCACATATGTAAGATTCAAATCAAATTGTTCTAAAATATCTACTACTGTCATGATCGATGATTCAAAGATTCATACATTTCTGAACTCTGGAAGGCCATGATAATCCTGAAATATAGCAGTATCCATGAAGCCACTAGCTCCTTCTGCTGTGCATATGGATGCTTTTGGATTATTGACAATCCACTCTTTGATTGAATCAAAGGAAAGCTGAAAATAAAATAGAAAAATATAATTAGCAATATGATTGAGAAACCTATTTCATGTAGTCAACTCAATATAGTTAAAACAAGGGTATTGTTGAGTTGAGTTAGAGTTGCGTATTATTTTTTCGAAAAGAACAGGTAGTAAGTAGTACTGACTATTGTTGTTACCTGGTTTTCTGCAAGACCCATCTGAATAACACCATGAGGATTAAGGGTAGGATGGTAGGGATCACTGTCGTACGCCTTCCAACCATCGAAGTAGTGAGAGTCTTCACCATGTCCATTGTTCGTTGCTATTTTAGACAACAACTGCTTTTGGTTGCTCGAATTGAACTTCATTTTCGTTCGGAGTTTAAAAATTTCTCAAATATGCTGCAAAGTAGTTGAGGGTTGGGGAAGAGAGCCGGATGAGTACTGAATTTATGAGGAGTGGAGGGGGGTGGTTGGTTGGTTGGTTTTTCAGTAAACGTAACTGCTTGCGTTATACTTTTTTTTTTAATTTATGAGATGAAGACTGCGACTTCCTCACTGGTTTCGATCTATGTCTTTGTAGTGGCATTTGATTGGTACTTATACTTGCATGTTTGGGACGTTCTTCGAAGAAGAAAAAGCTTTTGACAAACGAAGGTTCGTGTGAAAGACCAACCACACTACTAATCCCCTTTTGAAAAATTGGTGGATTAACTAGGCGGCTTTGAACTTTGTCAAATATTAATTACATATTACAATTGGGGTTTTGAGGCAATTAAGTATATAATCTGTCAGAAGTTCAATCTTTCTTTTTTTTTTTTTTTTTGGGGGGGGGGGGGGGGGGGGGG